GCTTTAGCATTTATAAGTATGTCAATGTCTGTAATAAAGTTGATTTTGACTTACATGATTTGACTTATATGATTTGCTATCTTTAAGTTATGCCCAGTTTATTAATTACAGTCTCTCTTAATCACAGTCACTTTTTTGTCTTGATCTTGTACAAATGTTATTTTCTATTTCTGATGTGATGTGGCCTGTTTGGCTTGTATATGAATCGAGTATATTTGAAATATACAAATCATATCGCCGAAGCTGAGATTGGTGTTCTGGACCTAAGAGGCAAGGAAAAGGACCAATCGAGACTCTAGGCCATTCGTAAAGGTGTATGCATCATTTGTTGGTCGTATAAGTCCATGTATCTAAATTTGGCAATCGTATTCGTGATAATCGTATAAGCTAAGTACATCAAAAATACATTTACAGATAAGAGGTTAAGGACAACAGTGAAGTAGAGACCTCAACAATGAAAATAGAATTGAATTATCATTAATGTTATCGTCATTTATTTCTGTATGATAAAGCAAAGAACTAGAATTATTTTGTTTATGATACAATAATAACGCAGGTTTTTGTTTAGACATGATAAAGTTGGATTCTATTTAGTTTTTTATTTGCTCACTAAATTATTTAGTAACTATGATACCGTTTTATATGGATAAAACTCTTTTCACTTACTTTTTTAGTCTTAAATCTAATTACATCTTCACAATTCAATAACTGATCATTTTGTGATGTAATAGTTACTCAATGTTGTTTCCTGATTGATTTTTAAATTATAAAAGAAAATCTTAGAAGAACATGGAAAACTAGATGTTTATTTTTCTAGCTACGGGTTTCACATACATGCCATTATTGTGAGTTTTATTTAAAAGGAAATAATTAGTAAAAGGAACTGTAGAATATAAGTTATGATAAATGCTTGTACACAAACACGAAGTAATTAGTTCGTTTGATATACAATTTTGAATTTGAATGTGACTATACAATTTGATATTCGATAAACTATAGATCACTGCATAAAATATTGAGTTTTGCAGATTCGATAATAGGTCGGTAACTCTTTTATTTACGGATAAGAATCCAGCTTGATTCAGCTCTGCTCTTCGAAATACTTACTTACATACTTACGCCTGTTACTCCTCGTGAAGGAGCATAGGCCGCTCACCAGCATTCTCCATCCAACCCTGTCCTGGGCAATCCTTTCTAGCTCCATCCAGTTGTAATTAATCGTTTTCATATCTGCTTCTATTATCCGACGCAATGTGTTCTTTGGCCTTCCTCTTTTTGCTCGTCGAAATACAAGTCAGTTAATTATATTCAGTGGAATACTTCTTCGAAACAATTTTTTTCATGATTATACATGAATTATATTGTCATCTCTCACACCCCATTTTAACCATGTTTATTCTGATCATTCATCTGATAATTTCATTCGACCTATAAACCTAATCAAGTCTACGTTTTATATTAGTCATCCCAACATTAACCATTTTGTTCTAATTTGCAACCCAAAGTGACAAATAAACTCTGAAATCCAGGTTGATCCAGCTGATGGGTTTGAAATAGGACGAAATGCACGTCCTTATTTTCATTGCTCTCCACCATCCATCTCTGCTTATAATATCAGGGCAATCCGCCTGGATGCATATATGTCAATAAGAGATTCATCAACTACAGTCCTAAAAGGCGATGGGAAGATTAAAACAACCAGTACAAAAATGAACCTAAATGCATATAGTACAATTTTTAAACGATGTATTTTACCTTAAATGTGGCCACTTTTTGGGTTGTTATTTTAGCTTTACACTTGCAGAACCTAAAAGAACATTCTTCGTTCATATATCTGTGTTTTAATATGATGTGAATTTTCAGCGATTCAATATTATGTTAGCATTTAGTAGTCAGTATACATTTCTATTTTTACCTAATAGTCAAAACACTGTGCAGGAAAATGTTTTATCTTTCAAGCTAATATACACAAATTGTCAGTCAAATACTATATTTTACTGCTGAATTAACGAAACAATCTAAGCTAGACCACCACTGTAAACTTCGAAACATTAGACGGTTGTTCCGTCCTAGTATGGGACGCCTCCATTATATTTCATCTCGTGTCATAACAGGTTATTTAAGTAATCTAAGATATATATGGCAAGTATTAAAATCTCAGACAAACAAAATATAAGTAACCGTGAGATTACTAAAAAAATAATCTTGGCTTTTATGATTATTAAAGCTCAAAACTGATTTCAATAGATAGGCTTGATCTGATAAAAAACTATTACCTTTTTCCAATATAAATTGTAGTCATTAGTTCAAACGTCTATATATATGAACAAATACATAGAAAGAATAGGAAAATAAGTGTTAACTATAATCACCCACATTTGCATTTAACGAATCTTTACTTTTTAATTATAGTCAATATGCTCACTACCATAACCGTATGAAATATCTTCCTCATTCTATCTATTTCATAGAATCTATTGTTTCTCAACTAATTTTGACATTGTTATTCTCCTTCTTTTTTTCGTGACCTCATGAATTTACTCGTTCTCCTGTAGACTTGATTGCTCTTTATTCTATTGAAAAAACTTGCCTAGTTCATGCATATATATATATATATATATTATCAGGAGTTTTTGTGGATATTATAGTGATTTAATAGTTGAATTCATGAGCCAATTGAGTCTAGAACAACATGGAAAGCCTGAAAACACTGGATAGCTGTTCCGTCTCAGTTCGGGGTTCCTCAGCAGTCTACATCCACGATCCCGCTCTTGGGATTCGTACTCAGAACCGTCAGGCTCGAGTGAGAACGCTCAAACTTTTGGCCACTGAATCGGCTTCTAACGATGTTAATGTCTAACTTCAACCAATCTACGAGATTGAGTGACACATCCACCATTGTCTTCAGTGAGTTACAATGCACGATAGACTCGGTTGAACTCCACTGGTCATTACTTCTCACTAGAACTCCAGGAAATACCTTTTGAAGTCAGTCACTAGTGAGCATATGATGATTATTTTCACAAGGGGTTTTTGTGGATATTATAGTAATTTAATAATTGAGTGCATGAGTCGATTGAAACTAGAACATCATAGAAAACCTGGGATCACTGTATGTTATACCATTCTAACCATAGCTTTGTATATTGTTTTGCATAAAAAACGTGAAATCTATACTTTAATTTCTTATATTCAAAGTATATTATTGTTTGAATATACAACAATTATGTATAATAACTTATCTAGATTGTGTGTGGTTGTTAAGAGATCAGTGTAATGAAGTAAATTCAACCGTATTTTGAGAATAAAGTTTTAATTGTATTGCTATAAGAATAAGTGGATATCACATTAAAACTATCATCTAAGACAGTATAAAATGTTATCCATAGCAAATTAAGAATCTTATGCAAGTTATTGTTCTGCGCAGTTGTTTAAAACTTAGCATAAAGATGAGTTATTCAAAAAAACAGCAATTCCTAATAAAATATTTCAGTTGAATTCGCAAGTTAATCTGATCTAGAACACCATTAAAAACCTGGAAGTATTTGACGGCCGTTTCATCCTAGTATGGGACTCCTAAGTAGTGTGTATTCACGATCCCGCACGCATTGAATCCCGGCTCAGTGGTCTAGAGGTTAAGCGTTCGTGTGAAAAAAGGAAGGACCTGGGTTCGTGTCTTGTGCGTAGGATCATGTATACATACTGATGAGTTGTTCTATACTAGGATGAAACAGTCATCCAGTGCTTCCAGGTTTTCAGTCGTTGTCTAGCTTAGATAGACTAGTGAATTCAATTGCTAAAATACTAGAATATCCACAAATCCCCTAAATTGGAAATATTTTAGAACAATTACTGAAAGAATTAAAAATAAATGCATCTGAAAATAAATTACAGTTTAAGAATGCACACGGTTCCCTTCGTTTATGTTTGTAAAACTAAATATTCCAGGTTCCTTTGTATTGGTGTAGTGAATAGCTCATATCACTTCAAACCACATAGTTTATGATAGATTATGTAATCTTACTGGGTTTATAAGAAAGGAGGAGAGACTCTAATTTATGGACAAGCCAATCAGAGGCGTTTTAGAGATTCCAAGGTTACGGCGCCAACTTCAGTGCTTAATGTTAACGTACGATTGGTTCACAGGAAATTTTGTACAAAACATGATAATTGAGTGGCTATAAGAAATAAAACGGCGAGACTATAATTTGTGGACGAATCAATCAGGTATAAGATAATAGATCTCGGATTTTAACGCGAAAGCCTTTCATCCATTTGGCTAAATAGATTTCTGACATTATAGCTGATGTCAGTTCGTGATGAAAACCCCATATATAATTCCTAAGGCAAATTACGACAATTATCGCGAACTGGATAATAAAAGCACCAGTAACACTGGCTGCATCCAGGTACTAAAATATATACAGATGTTTGGAAAGCGTACAGACTCCTACATAGTCTTGGTTATGTGTAACGTGTCGTTATCCACAAGTAGCATTTTGTGCACTCAACAACCGGAGTGCACATAAACAATATTGAAGCTATGTGGTCGAGGCTGAAAGAGTATTTGAGACTTTATCATGACTCCAGATGCCGACTATTCTGTAGCCGTATGGATGATTTCCTCTACTGCATGCATTACAATTTTAGAACCTGTGAACCTATTTCTAATCTTGACAAGTTTTTGAACCACGTATAAGAAGTGTATCCACTTTATTTCCTTGGTTTTGTATAACATATTTCCACTCCATACTGACTGTTTGCTGATTGGCTAATATCTCTCAAGGTCACTTAAGATTCATTCAAAGGTCGTTCATAAATTAGAGTTTTGCCGAAAAGTAAAATATAGAATTACCTAATTCCTTGATCCTACTCAATCAGACTTTGGGATTCAAAATATTCCAATCTTTAAAATGGTGTTATATTCCAACCATATTATATCCATTTCATTATGTTAGTAGCATGAAATGTATTTAAATGATTTAAAAAGCTAACTTTTCAATAACAAACTAATCAAATAATTTAAAACAATAGCCTTTAACAAATTTTATGAATAAATTTTCGTAAAAGACTTTTTCTAAAAAAGATCCAAAGCATGGATCTCATAATTATAGGAGCAATCAGAACATTTATATCTTTCCCATGAACACCTTACTCTTTTGTACAATACTTAAACATCACGTCTAATCACAAGTAAATTAGTCAAAAGTTTAATGACTAGGACTAGCAATTTTACTATTATTATTTTTAATGTTAATGTTTAGTATTAGAAATTGAATCTGCTTAGCGATTGGTAATTTGAACTTGTTTTTTCTTGTTGTTGTTGGACGATACCGGATATTATAACATTGGTCAATTCAGCATCGATAATAAAATATACTTTCACCTACCACTACAAGGCTAAACATATAGTTATTCATTAGGATTTAATTGATATTAGTTAGTCAACTATAATACATTAACATACATAACATTTCACAATGTTTTACGGAAATATAAACTATGAAAACTATACTTGTCTATTAAATGCATTCATGTAAATTAATAATTTGATTAATGTTATCAAGGAAATAGGTATTCTTTTAGTTGATGCTCAATAAAACTGATTATATATTCTATTCCTTTATCGAAATTGTCATACAATATGAGATAATCTAACATAGGCTCTATCTTTCTCTCCCTATATATTATCATCACTGAGAAACTAAAATCACAGAGAACACAGCAATAATATTGGCAGAAATAATAGGCATTATTGTTATATATGTACTGATCTGAAATTGGACATAAATTTTTTATATCTATCAATCCTCTAAATAAGATTATCATGCATGAGATATCATTATGGTGTTATTTACACAAAATGAAATGCTGATTATATTTCTCATTTATGCTTAAACCTTTATTATTGATAGTTGTAAACAAATAAAGTCGGAAAATTGATTTGACTTAATTAATTAAGTGTCCATAACTTTATTACATACAGATAAAATAAATTCAAAAGTCATTTATTGCTTAGGTTTTTATGTGGTACAGTACAGTACTTACAATTGGATAGAACTAGAAAGGAAAGCTTAGGACAGAGTAGTTTGGAGAATGCTGATAGGCGGTCTATGCTCCACTGGGAGTATCAGGCGTAAGTAATTACGTATATATATTATACCAGAAAATCGTCGAACTAGACTTACTTTATCTCTAATTGTTTGTCTCATATTTTCTCTTTGCTCTTCTAAACCTTCAAATCTTTCTCGACGTTTTTCTTCAGCTGCAATTATTGATGCTTCAAGATCATCATTTGTTGTTGTTGTTGTTGTTAAAGATCCAGCATCTTTGGCAACGTCTAAAAGTTAATTAAAATATTGAATATTTATTTTATTTTGTAAAAAATATATAGATTTAGAAGATAGATAGGTGAACTGTATAAATTATATATCTTAACTAGATTTTCATTCTATATTTATAATAGTATTTTAAAACGGATAATAATTTTCCATGATGATCAATCAGCGACAAGTTAGTTAAGAACTTTCCAGATCTAGATGTTTCCAGAAAAAATAATAGTGAATAATTGCTATAGTAATTTTAAGATCCAAATTCATAAGGGTTTATTATGTTTCAAGCTTTTATCTAATAAATGAGTTTTAAAAAAATAGGCTGCTTTAACGTTACATGATTACGTAGTAATTAGTACTCAATTTCTTAAAACTTATTCAATATTAACCTAGAAACATGAATAAAAATTCATTTGTCAAAAGCTTAACTCTGTTAAATATGAGGCATAGAGATATATTTAACAGCTTAAAATGGATAATACCCAGTTACAATATATTCTTTTGACATATATTTTTAAAGCAAATAAATGAATCAGGTTTCCTTCTAATAGATAAAACTTGTGGTAATATAGTTAATTACATAAAATCTTTATTTAATCATATTTATGAATAGGGTCGAATATAAATAATATTGGCTAAATATAATGCATGTGATATAACGGTCGGGTTTCCCACGTTTACGCGAATGAAATGTTAATTTCCTTTAGACGAATATCTGCACTAGATTCTTTCCCAGTGTTTATTCTACAGGACTTTAACACAACTCAGATCATCAACACGTGATTAGCCTGATTACAACGTAAATATATTTCCACACCAAAAACCCGACACAATTCAACAATAATGAACAATCAATAATAAGTAATAATAAGGATAAGGGAATATATAACTCATGTGACACCTTTCAGACTATCTACATGTCTGATTAGCGTTTTTTTAGCGAGTTAGTTTTCTACGGGGTGGGGTCGCTAACCCCATGCCCGACCCTCCTTCTTTATCCGGGCTTGAGACAGGCAGTAGCCCCCGGAGGGACTCCAGGCGGAGTTATGTCTGATTAGGCAGATAACCGATCATTATCATTCTCGCCCACATATCAATATGATTAATGAAAAGTTTTATTGACTACAGTCATTGTATTGTTATTAAAAATTAAAAATGAACATACAATTTATAATTAAAAACAAAAAGAATGTTTAATTTTCGGTAAAATCAATTTCATAACTCATTTTAAACAAAAAATGATTTTAAGCAAATATGGATAGTGGCTAATAGTGGAATCCAGGACACGCGTTTCGTCTTATTTATAATACTTGTGAATGAAGGCAATATCGAGGCAATCCGTACAGGATGCACATATGCCAACAAGAGACTGATCAATTGTAGTCCTAATCATCAATGGGAAGATTCAAGTAAAACGATACCAAATTGAATTTAAACTTCATCCATTGCACAAACAAGTGGCTATCAGTACTCAGTAACTAAGTGGATAACGTGATGGTGTTTGAAGCGAACGGTACTGAGTTCAAGTCGTGGAGCGAACATCAACTATGATATGCAGATACATCCATCTGATGAATCCCAAATAGAACGAAACGCATCTTTTAGGTCCTACTACTAGACACTATTCATCTTTGCTCATAACTGTTTACTTTCGAATGTCATACAAAAACTGAGCTTATAATATGTTTTTAAGTGATCCATTAGACATTTTGTGAAACAATTTTTTTTCTTAAGCTATTCAGTTGCATAAAATAATTGTCACTTTGTAAACATACACTTTTTATATTTTTTTGATTAGATAAATCATAGTTATGATTAGGATTTAAGTGAACCAAATTACTGAGGTTTTGTTTTCATTACTCGTTATTATGATATATATGACCATATTCAACATGTATGTTCTATTATTGTAATAACCCACTAAAAAATACTTTGTTTTTTAAGAGAATTTCAGTACATATCTATAAAATTGATTTTGTCACATTCATATTTTATCATATACAAGAGACCCTTATTTAATAGTAGTAACCGTTTAATTCATTTGTAACAGTGAGAATAACAATGGATTTCTTAACATATGAATATACATATTGTTATATGTGATAGTTATCAGTTCAGATGAATCAAATCAAAAAGAAGAAACCATGTTCGAAGTTTTGAAGAAAACAAGAACAACCAAAAACAAATTAAATCATCAATAATAAAATGATTGACAAAAGATCTTAACTTGAATAGATCAATTTAACAGGCATTTCATAATGGACTCATTAAAATCAGTTGAATATGATGTTTATATTATTTTCAGAATAAAGAAGAAAAAAACATTTGTAAAATGTTGTTTAGAAAAATTATACGAAAAAGTTTTTTATTAGAAGACTTTTGTGAAGATTTTAGAAATTTCACAGATTGAAATCATGAGTCAATTGAAGCTAGACCAACATGGAAAACCTGGAAGCACTGGATGCGCATTGCTGGGGAGTCCCACACTGAGACGAAACGGCCGTCCAGTGCTTCCAGATTTTCCATGATGGTCTAGCTTCAATTGACTCATGATTTCAATCTGTGAAATTTCTAAAATCTCCACAAACCCCTTCTGATAATAATCATCTGCTTACTAGTGACTGACTTCAAGAGATACTCCTGGAGTTCTAATGAGAAGCCGTTACAAGTGGAGTTCAACCAGGTCTGTTGTGAGATATCAGCTCACTGAAGATAAGGGTGGACGGTGACGTAACTTCGTGGATTGGTTGAGGTTAGACATTAACACCGTTGGATGCCGGCTCACTGGTCTAGTTAGTCATGCGCCTGGCGCGAGACTGATAGGTCCTTGATTCGAATCTCGAGGGGCGCGGGATCGTGGGTGCGCACTGCTGAGGAGTCCCACAATAGGACGAGACAGCCGACCAGTGCTTCTAGGTTTTCCATGGTAGTCTAGCTTCAATTGACTCATGATCTCAACTGTTGAAATTATGTATTTGTTTGACATGTACATCGATGATTCATTAACAGTTTTATCGACCATTGACTTGCACTTTTATTTAGTTATTCCTTCATATATAACATATCAACACAGAACATCAATAATTAATCTCATACATACATGCATACCTACAGACTCACACACATACAATTTGTTATTCAGTTATTTATTTCCATGTAGTTGAATTTTCACATAAATTGTAGTTAACTGACTCATTTTTATCCCATTTTACAAAAATCAACATCCAAAAATGATTGGTGTAACACAGTATAGTTTTGATTGTTAAAAAGCTATATACTTCTTTGATGATTTTGATTTTGTTTATTACCCTGAAGAAGTCCAGGCAAGTTAGCTGGACGAAACGTTGGAGTCATTTAAATTTCAATCACTGAGATTATTTCAAATATAATTTTCACATATAATAAATTCTCTATACTCGGCGCCCAATTTCTGTCAAACTATTCATTCTAATCTTGACGAATATTCGTATAAATTGAATATAACAATTTGCAATTCAATAAAGCTATTGCACAATTTTACGATGTGGTATGGAATTGTAGTCAACACGAACATGAGTGGGGACAACTGAATGTATTTAAACACGAAATTACAGAATATCTCACTTAAATCTGAGAACCATACAGTAAATCTTTAATTTGCAAAATATCAATCCATTGTCTCAAACTTGACTGTTTCTTTTTCAAATATCAGTCCATCGTCTCAGATCTCATTGTTTTTGGCATTTTCATATCAATTGCTTTCCGTTTTCGTTATTCCTTCTCGATTTTCTACTGAAATACATTCTATTTCTAACCAGTGTTATATACTACTTATGTGTATATATAGGTAGCGCACACTACAGATTATCATAAATTGTTCAGAAAAACCGTTTTATCAAAGTTATGTTACGAAAATACTTAAGATGAAGCTAGTTTATGGATGATGGTAAATGCCACTTGATAAATACAAAGAAAAGAATAATTAAATGTTACAAATATTATCTAACTAATAATTTTGAGAAAATTACAAGGGATTAGTAATGAGAGATAGAAAGAAAGGTTCATGACTACGGTAGAATGAGAGATTGAATATGTTATTTTATACACATAGATCAGGGTTTGAATTAGTATATTGCTAGAGCTTTTGTTGTACAAAAGTTTTTAATTTGCATTCTCTTTGAACTAATCCTTCTGATAGTATGCTTGATTCTGAAATAGGATTCTGGTGAAGTAGCCTTTTTACATAAACGTTTTTAACTTTCCAACAATCCAGTATTATATATTAAACATACACAACTTGTCCAGTAATTTAATGTCATTGCATCCGTATACTCATGAAAATTCACCTGAACCTGATATGTTGTGGTGTATGCTACTGATGTGGACAGATTTAAGTAGTACATATCATCAATCGAAAATGAAATGCCTGGCAGCACATGGTTAATAAGATCGAAGAAAAAGGGAACCAGAACAGAGAGTGATTGATTTGGAAACGAGGGAATAATCAAGTCTAAGACGATTGATTAACATTAACCACGATAGGACGAAACGGCCGTCTAGTGCTTCCAAGTTTTCCATGGTGGTCTAGGTTCAACTGATTCATGATCTTAACCATTGAAATTACTACAATCTCCACAAAACCCATCTGATATTCTAACATTATCTACAAATGTTTATTTGTATTTCTTAAAGTAATTGTGATACTTATGTAACCAGTATAAAACAAACATTATTTATTTTAAATAAATAAACAATAATCAACACAATGACTCTTATCTAAAGTTGTTTTACACATTAGAATGTTTGTTTAATAATTGTGTAATATTACCTGATATATTTAGAATTCGGTCACTTCATTATACATTTTTATATCCACTTATTGTAAATACTCTAGATTGTATGAATATAATAAGTACGCTAAAAGTAATAAGATTATATTATATTAAAAATCATAATGGTTTAAACTGAATACTACCAAAGTTTTGTTGAACAGTCTTTTTTGAGCTTAGTTACGATAAAACATCAAAAC